GAGGGCAAGAACTGTCTTTTACCTCCTCTTGAATAAACAGCACTTAGCACAGTGCCCAGTGTATTAGTATTCGTTTAATAAATGTTTATTGATTGACTGATTGTCAATCTGCCTTTGGATTTGACACAAAGAACTTCTTTCCCCTACCCCACTCCCTTCACCACATCAGGAACTCACCCTTCCTTTTCCAAAATGACCTTCCTCTCATAGTCCTTTAAGTACATGGGCTTTTCTTTCTTCTTTTTCTTCTCTTTCTCTGAGGGTTCATCATCTTCCCCTGAAGAAGAGGGTTCTATGACCCCAGAAAGAGACTACATGAGGCATCATGAAAGTCACCCCCAGCCCACATCTCTTCTTTCCCTGTTCAGGAAAGGCCTCTGGCAGGTCCCCTATCCCAGACTCATCCCCACCAAGCAGGGCTTTATTCCCCCCCATCCCCCATCCCAGAATATTCGTGGAGGAAGATAGTAGCCTACCGGCTGCATTATAGAATGTGGCATCCTCCTGGTAGATCCTGGGGTCCTTCTTCTTCAAAAGTGACAAGGTTCGGTAAAAGCCCTTGTCAAGTTCTGGGTCAAACTCCTACCAAAAGATCATGACAGGATCAATTCCTAGGTACAGCTCCTTTCCCATAGAGTTTATGAAGAGATATCCTTAAATAAGGGGATCATAGAATTTAAGGGCTGGAGAGAGAACTTTAAAGGGACCTCCTGATACGGTTCATTCATCTAACAGTTTCTGCAACTGCAGTAAGTAGGGAGGAGGAAGTGATGTTTGAGTAGGGACATTTGGGGGGAGATGGTTGGGGATGTCTGGGGAGCTATCTGGGGACTAGGGGATGCCTGATTGGGGATGTCTGGGGAGATATGGGATGCTTAGCTGCGGATGTCTGGGGGAAGACCGGGGTAGATGTCTGTGTGGGCATATGGTGGGACGTAAGAAGGCTGCCTGGATGGTGATATTTGAGTAGGGATGTGGGAGGGGGGAGCAGATGCCCGGATGGGGATGTCTGGGGGAGATGCCTTGCGTCTCGGTGAGGGTCCCTGGTTGGGGATATTTGAGGGGAGATAACCCCAGTTGGGGACCTAGAGGTAAGGAAATGAAGACAGTCCCACGTGTGTAAGGGGGCGGGGCTAGACAGGCCGGTCCCGCGCAGGAGGGTCCTCACCACCCGCTCGTCACTGGAGTCGGAGTCGGAGTCCGAGCTGGACTCGGCGCCGCTCCCGCTGTCCCCGTACCGGTCCTTTACTGGCGGGCAGAAGTGAAGAAAGTCAACGCAGCTCCGGCAGACCCCTCCCCCTGCCTCGTTCCCCCTCACCCATCGCCGATCCGCCCGGCCTCCTGCCCCCACGCATGCACCGCACTCACGCTTTTGCAGCTCCTCGCGCTGCCGGTAGCGTCCATACCGCGCCGCAAAGGCCTCGTTCACCCGCAGCTCGCACTGCCCGCGCGGCTCAGGCATGGCGGCTCACGGAAACGGAACAGACCGGGGGAGGGAAGTGAGTGTTCTGCACTGCGCCGGCGCAGACTCCTCCTACCTGGAGGTCTTAAAGGGGCAGCATAGTGGGAGCCCCGCCCCTCTCCGCAGCCGCGCACCCCCCCCCGCCTCTTCTCACGCCACCTCCTACCCATCCCTGGGGGCCTGGGAGACCCTAACCATTCCCTCATCCTGCTCCCGTAGCTGCTCAGAGATGAAATGCTGGTTTGAGCTGGCTGGTCCAGAGGTGCAGGATACTGGGACCTAGGTGCGGGGGGAAGTCCTGGCTCCTCCCCAGCGCCACTCGGAGGGCACAGCTGGGGGCTCTTGCTCCATTCGCGGTTTCCTGCCACCCTTCCGTTCCCGATGCCCAAACCACTGCCCCACCCAACCCCAGCTGGACCCTGGGAATCACCCCGCCCTCCCCCATCGCCCTCCAGGGCTAGCCACCTCCCTTCCCTGGTACAAATAATGACTGAACCCCTTCTCTGGGTGCTGCACTGAAGACAAACAAAACAAACAAACAAAAAAAATGGAGCCCCTCTCTTCCACCATACTCCTCCTTCCCTCAACACCCCCCCCAAGAAAAAACAGGCGGCAGAAGCTAGTCCGTCAAGGAATGTTCAATATTAATTTAATGGTTAAAAACATTAAATTACCACACAACATTCTTCAGAAAGCATAATAAATAGAATCTTTTAAAAACTGTACAAGAGGCTGGAAAGAGGCCTTCAACAAAAGAAAACGGAACACTCCCCCGCCACCATTCTCTCATTTTGATCCCCCAAAATTAAATTGTGTTCCTGGGTTTGCAAAAGGAAGTAGTGTCCTTCTCTTCTCTACAGCACCCCTGAGGTGACTTTGCTAAAAGATAGCTGCTTCTGGGAACCTAGAAATCCCCTGAGGTGTTGGGGCGGGGGTGGGTTGAAGTGTGGGAGGAAAATGGAGCCTCCAGCAACTTTGGACCAGGCAGGGGACAGTGAGAGAGCCAGGGCATTGCCCTAGATCATCACAAAAGGCCCGGAGCTCGCGTGAGCTGTGCCAGCCTGAAGGGAAGGGGCAGGGGCTAGAGGGGCAGAACTGAACCGTTTATCAGACCACCTTCCCTGCCGTATCCAGGAGCTGGGCTAGGGCCAAGAGTCCTAGACTGTCTCTGCTTGCTCAGTCGGCTTTCTGCAGCCCTTGCCCTCCCCCAACTTTCACATCACACTGAAGGGGAAAAATAACCACACAAATAAACACCAACAAACCATACCTCGGGGTGGGGGGGGGGGCGGGGAGGCGACAGACCTTCGGCACTCGGGTGGGCACGGAATAGGAAGAGAATTGTCCACTCTCATCCTCCCAGAGACACAGACCCTCCCCCAACCCTTCCCTATTCTGTTTCGGGGATTCCTGGGGCTGGTCCCACCAGTGCCAAGTGCCATCCAGCTGTCCTGGTTGCTGAAGGGCCCCCACATTCACAACGATGGGGTAGGGAGGTGCCTCTCCAAGATCCGCCCCAACTGCCCGGCTCCACATTGCCGAGCCAGCTCAAGGGGCGTGAGGCCCCCGGCATCCTGGTGCTGCAGGTCGGATTCCCCGGCCAGGAAGCTGACCACAGCAGTGTGACCCTCCCTCACAGCCAGGTGGATAGGCAGCGCCCCGGCGCCGTCGGGCACGTTCACGTCAGCGCCGTGTTCTACCAGGACCCGAAGAGTGTCCAGGAACCCTGTGCGCGCTGCGTCGTGGGCCGGAGAGGTGCCCGACCCGTCCTGGACGTTGGGGCTGGCTCCCTGCTTTAGCAGCTCCAGAGCAATGGGCGAGCTCCCGAACATCATGACCTAAGAGTCGAGACAAGAGGAGGAGAGGTGTTGGATTCAGGCAAAAGAAAGAGTAGAGAGGCTCTGCGCATCCAGGCCTAAAAGGGAGGAATAGAAAGAAGACCAGGATGGTGAAGTGAGTTCCCCCTTCCCTTCCACACTCACCCCCATGCCAGGACACCAGGCAGTCCTCCCTAGCAGCCGCCCCATCCTCCCCCTTGGTCCTCTCTGAGTAGAGACCCACCTGCAGGGCGGTCTTGCCGAAGCGGTTCAGGGCGTCGGGATGCACAAATTCCTGGTGAAGGAGGCGCCGCACCTCGTTCACATCTCCCCGGGCGGCAGCCCCGCTGAGCCGGTCCCCGGCGCTTATCTCCTCTAGCAACATCTCCGACCTACAGGCCTGGCAGCCTGGATCCGACAGGAGAGAGAGTAAGCGCGGAGCGGGGTCAGGCCGGGGGTACAGTGCCACGGCCTTTCCCGGCAGCAGTGTGGCCCCTCAGCTCAGTCTAGCCTAGCCCAGCCCAGCCCAGCCTCCCAGGCTCGGGAGGCGAGCGGTGGGCCCCTGGCGGCTGAAGAGGTTCAGAAGCAGCGCAGGCGTAGCCAAACCACCGTCCCCTCGAGCCTGCCCGACCCAGGCTCTGCTGCACCGGCGTCTCAGTCTCTCCTAGAGCCGGCGGCCTCCAACCAAACGCGGACCCCTCCCCAGCCGGCTCCTCCCACCTGTCAGCCAGGATCTAGAGAGGGGGCTGGGAGGGTAAACTGGAGGTCCAATCCTACTCCTTTTCCTAAGGCTCCTCCGCCTCCGCAGCCCTGCCCGGCCCCCGCCCCTCGGGGGCCGGGCTCCCCTGGGGTCTCCCCCCCGAACTCACCCTCCCTCCTCCTTCTGAGCGGGCGGGGTTCACTCTGAGCTCTGGCAGCAGCGGCCGCAGAGGCGAGGACGTGAGGGGGTGGAGCCGCCGCCCCCACGTGGGCCGCTCAGAACCCGGAGTATTTGTTGTCTTACGAATTGACACTTTGTATCGGTCCCCTTTGCCCGGTTCCCGACCCTTCGAGACCCCGCCTTGTTCTCCACCCCGACCAATGGTGACACGTCTCCGGGGTGCCTTCGCAAGCAGAGGCACACAGCGTCGCTCCTGATTGGTCGGCTGGAGGCGACCGGCCGGGTACCGGTAATGGCGGGGTTTTCAGTTTCAAATGCCAGAGGCAGGCGGGAAAGAGGCTCCCGAGGTAACTGACTGAGGGAGCAGCAGCCGGGTCAGGGTCAGAGCCGGTCCTCTTCTCGCCCTGGGGCCCGGACGACGAGTGTCACCCCTCATTCTTACACTGCCAGAACCAGGACCGCAACCCACCCCCATCCCACCCATGCTGGAATACAAGACCCTCCCTCAATAATGCTGCTTCCTGCAGAAAGACCGCGACTCGGGACCTTCCAACCTGCCCCAACAATATCCACACTAAAGACTTACCCATTCACCCTCACATACAATGACACCAGAACTCAGAACCCTACCCCCTAAGACCTAGATGGAGGACCCTAACCACCCCATTATAGGTCCCCTACTAAGGACCATCCCACCCCAACAGACTCGTGTTCTATCTGCCCTTGCAGCATCCTTGCCTTCTCTTACCAGGTCAGCCCCAGGACCCTGCCACCCTCTTTCTCCTGCTCCTTTGCCTCTCAAAGGTGAAGCAAAATCAGATTACTCACTGCAGTGGGTTGATCAGGTTTCAACTTTCTTTAATCTTAAATCCTAAAACTAGATAGGGAGGAGAAACAGAGAACCCACTCTCAGAATGCAAGAGGGTGGAAAACTCAGGGGATTAAAGGCACAACAGGCTCTCCTGACAAGGCACTGAGGCAGGGGGGGGGGGGGGGGGGGGGGTAAATCAGTTCCCCCACCTTTACTTCATATAAAAATTGGAAGGAGAGAGCTCTAAGCAGACCCCTGTTTCCCCCGCCCCCAACCTTCTCTAGTAAGAGAAAATCCCACCTAAGAGGCTCCAGCTACTTGAGGTTGCCTCCAGGCTTGGGTCCCCAGATCAGAAGTGGGGATAATGAAGGGGCTGAGACTCACAAACAAGGGCCATGAGTGCCCACCCTCCCAAATACAGACTAGGCAGACTTCACAAACAGGGACCACAGGCATCCCTCAAATGGATGAGGGCCAAAGCTGCCCCCTAAACACGCAGACAAGATTGCCTCCCATTCACAGTCATAGGTGGGATGGATGCCTCTCAGATATAAGAACAGGGGCCATTCATTCTCACAAACAAATACACTCTTTTAAAAAAAACTTTGGGCAGGAGGGTCCACAGGGTAAGATGTCAGCCTTTGCTGCTCCAAGGTCTGTTTCTTTTCTAGCTGGTCCGAAGCTGATAATCTACAAGAGAGGATAGTTGTCTTAGAGTGGTGATTTGAAGTAGGGGTGGGAACACCTCATTTCCTCCCTCTTTTCCTCCCTTCCCACCCCCCAATCCTTAGTGCCCCCCCAATATCCTTAGTCTATGAAGACAGGGAAAGTAGCATTGGTCTCCAAGGAGAGAAGCCTAGACCTAGCCAGGGGCCGCATCTATCATACCCCTAATCATTTATTACCCCTAGTCTGGGGTATTCTTACCCCCACTCTGGGTGATATACCGAACCCAGGGAAGGGCCTGGTACCCACTCTTCTCAATGATCTTCATGTACCGGACCTGTAAGATAACAAGAAAAATTGTTTCAGTAGGCATAATAACTACTTCTCCAGCCACAACATATCCAATCACACATGTATTCCTGCCTCCAAACAATTCCTCATATCATGGCCAGAATACTCTTTCACACAAGTCCAGTCGTATGCCTCCCTGTTCCCCATGGATTGAACTCCTCTCTGCTGGACGGTTAAGGCCTTCAGCAAGCTGGTGCCATACTCCCCTCTTGTCCAGGTGTCTCTCATCTTACTCCAAGTGTTCTGTGCTCCAGGCAAACTAGACTACACTCAGCCTCTGAAGACAAATTGTGCCTTCCCACCTCTTATCTTTCTTTATTCACAATGTTGTCTGTGCCTATTACATTTCTTCCCATCTTGTAATTCCTGGTTCAATGACCAGCTCCACCAGGAAGTTTTCCTTGATCTCTCTGACCAATAACTACCTACTCTCTCACACAAAATCACAGAATGATAGAGCCAGAAAGTCCAGAGGTTTGTTCTTAACTTGGGGTCCATGGGTTTTTTTTTTAGACAAATTTTGATAATGATTTTAATATAATTGTTTTCCTTTGTCAGCTAGGTGGCACCATAGTGCACAGAGCACTGGGCCTTGGAGTGCCTGAGTTCAGATTTAGTCTTAGACACTAGCTGTGTGACCCTGGACAAGTCACTTCATTAGCCCCGGAATATCCATCTATCTCCCAGGGTGTTGTGTCGATCAAATGAGATAATATCTGTTGGTCGTTGTTGAGTTTTCTCCAACTCTTCATGACCATATTTGGGATTTTCATGGCGAGAATACTGGAGGGGTTTGCATTTCCGTCTGCAGCTCATTTTACAGATGAGGAAACTAAGGCAAACAGGGTTAAGTGACTTGCCCAGGGTCACATAGCTAATAAGTGTCTGAGGCTAGATTTGAACTCAGGAAGATAAATGAGTCTTCCTGATTCCAAGCCCAGCGCTCTGTCGGCTCTATCTAGCTGCCTGACATTTGTTAAGCACTTTGCAAATCTTTAGTTGCTATATAAATGCCAGCTATTATTATTATTCCTTTGTAATCCTTTGTATTTCATTTTATGAATTTTAAAACATTATCATGAGAAGGTCCATGACACAGAAAGGGTTAGGAACCCTTGATCTCTTCTAGCCCCATTTCACAGATGAAGTAAGTGTGGCCCCGAATTAAAGTGATAAGAGCAAAGTCACACATAGACTAAAACCCGGGCTTTGGTGCTCTTTCCACTATCCCGTGCTCATATAGTATGTTTGCACCCTTTCAGTGCCTTAAAACAAGTAATACCCAATGTCCTATTTATCTGACTGTATACATAAGCACGGGCAGAGCAGGGATTGACCCTTTATAGGCCCTCACCTCCACCCCAGCACCCAGCCTAGTACTCCGTATTTTTTTGTGTAGTGAATGAATGAAGGGAAAATGCTAAAATCATTGCCCCGGGCTCATCTTTCCTACTTCCCCCTTCCCAAATCCCACCCCCTTTTACCTGAATCCCAGAGACAGTGAAATAAGGAATCTCAAATTTGACTGAGATGGGAGGCCGGCCCTCCACCTCCTCTTTCTCCACACTGGGTAAACCAAAGTGTGCTCTCATTAGGTACTCCTTTCCTCCCTGCAAGGTCAAATGGATATTGAGGAAGGTAGACAAGTAAACAGGCAGAAGGAAGGATAGGATTGTGCCCTAGGGGATCTCTCCTGGACTATTGGATAGAATATAGATTTTAGCACTGGACCAGACCCCCAAGAGAGCTTCCATTCGAATCTCGCCAGTGAGGCCCAGAGAGTTTGTAGAGGGCTTGTTCAAGGTCACACAGATAGAAAATAGCAGAGCTGGGATTTCTATTCTGGTCTCCCCTGACACCAAGCCCTAAGTTCTCATCGCTTCACTTGGTTGGCTGAATGAGCCCCAGGAGGTTCATTTCATGCTCCTAGCTCTCCCCTCCTAAGGGTCCAGCCCCTTCCCACTGCTCCATACCTAACCAACCAGGCCCCTTCTGCCTTTCCCTGGACCCCTGCTGTTCCCCTCCCACTGCCCCTTGACCCCACCCACCACCTGCTCCTCCAGCTCTCACAGGAAAGGACTTGATGTTCCAGATAACCACATTTTTCTCAGGCAGGTACTTGGCACTGCCCACACTGGTTTTGAATCGAGGGGAATCTGCATCACTGGGCACTGGGACCGCGATCTCCACGCTGTTGGCCACTGACTGCTTCTTAAACTGGCCCTTAGCCTGGCAGAGGTGGGGAGAGAAGCCGAGACTTATCAGACTTGGATGTTTCCCCATTGGTTTCTACATCCTTTTTCTATACCGGTCATCTCTCCCATCTTCCCAGAACCTGTCCCGGCCCCACCTCGCCCCTCCTCCACCCACCACACTCCAGCCAGGCAAATGTCCTCATTGAGATGATAATAACCAGCATTTATAAAGTACCTTAACGTCTGTAAAGCACTTTACATACATGATCTTACAATGTCTTTGCAATTTTGCTCCCTACCTCTCCCACCCTTCCCAAGTCAAACTCACCCTGTCCTTCAGGAGCCAGGTCAAGCCCAACACCCTCTGGGTAACCTTCTCCCACAAAATCCCAGGACTGGGAGAGTGCTCCAAGCATGAATCCCCTCTGACTCCCTTAATAAGTGGCCATCCAATTCCCTACTTCTAGTAATGGAGAACCTACTGCCTCCTAAAAGATTTTATTCTACTTTTGGACAGCTCCCATTGCAAGCGTTTTTCCTGATGTGGAACCTCAGACTGGTTCACTGCAGCACCCATTCATCCTTCTCATTCTGCCCTCAAAGGTGGAGCAGAGCAAGTCAATCCTTTTTCCCCCAGAATTGCGCTCATTAGATATTTGAAGACAATAATTTTGATATCCCCTCCCTCCCTCCATGTCTTCTCTTTTCCAAGTTAATATTCTCTAGTTCCTTCTGTGGACTCTGGTAATGATATGATCTCCAGTCCCCTCACCACCAAGGTTATCCTCCTCTGGATTCAATCCAATTTCGTATTTCCTGAAATGCATTTACTTCTGAATGTCAGTCACAAGCTTCAGATGTGGCCTGACCAGAGCAGAGAACAGTGGGAGCAACACCTCTCACATTTTGAACCTTAAACCTTAAACCTCTTTTAATGAAGCCTAATTCTCCTTCTCCTTCTTCTTCCATGACACACCATCAGTTCAGTAAGGCTGTGGTTCGCTAACATGTCTGTCTTTTTCACAGGAATTGTTATCTAAGCATCCCTCTACCAGTTGATTTTTTGGGCCCAACTGCAGGATTTTACATTAATCCCTGGTACGTTTCATCTTCTGAGATACATCCAATTCTAGCCTGGAGAGATCTTTTTGGATTGTACTCCATTAAACATGTTAGGGGAACAATAATCAGGAAAGAAGATGGGCAGAGGAAGTCCAAGGTCCTTCATACCTTAACCATAATTTCTACGCGGCTGTGTGAGAATTTCTCAATGACAGACTCAATCCAGATCAGTGGTTTTACCTGTAGGGAGAAAGAGTCCCAAAAGCTCAACCTTAGGCCATGGGATCGGGCAACACCTCCAAAAAAACATTAGGGCTGGGGCCAAAGCCTCCTTAAGTGGGGAGACTCACCTGGGTGTTGAGCCGATAAGACATGAGCTCAAAGTCACCATCAGGTGGGATGAAGGAGATTGTTCGATCATTGTCAAATCTGGAGAGCCTTACGCACTGATGGAACTTAACATCTTCCAATTCGACAGACTTGTTTTTGTTGCCTGAAACTCAGAGAAGAGGAAACTGTTGTTTTAGTTGGAACATACTATCTGGACCTGGGTTCAAGTCTCCAGTCTGATCCAAGTGACCTTGGACAAATCACTTTACTTATCAGAGCCTCAGTTTCCCCATCTGTAAAATGAGGAAGTTGGATTAGATCAGGATTTCTTAACTTTTTTGTGCGTGTCATAGACCCCTTTGGCAGACTGGGAAAGGCTATGAACTCCTCAAAATAATGTCTTTAAATGTATAAAACGGGGCAGCTAGGTGGTGCAGTGGATAGAGCACCTGCCCTGGAGTCAGGAGGACCCGAGTTCAAATCTGATCTCAGGCACTTGACACTAGCTGGGTGACCCTGGGCAAGTCACTTAATCCCATTGCCTAGCCAAAAAAAAAAAGGACTCGAATGTATAAAACAAAACACATAGGATTACAAGGAAACAAATTACATTGAAATAATATCTTTATGAATAATCAAAATATTTTTTAAAAAAGACAAGTTTATAGACCCCAAGTTAGTATTCCCTGAACTAGATATCATCTAAGGTTCTTTCCAGCTTTAATTTCAATGATACAATATGTTAAAAGTTCATATAGTCTAGATTCTTTATTTTACAAGTGAAGCAACTGAGACTCAGAAAAGAAATGATTTGCTGAAGTTCACATGGCTACTAAACAGAAGACCCAAGACTTGAACCCAGGCAGACTTTTTGACTCCAAATCCAAGGATATCTCTACCACACCACCTTGGCTTCTTTACTCCTTTCATCACTCTAAAACCCCTAGTCACCTCAAAGGCTGATATTCCCTGCCAGAGCATCCCAACCTTCTATAGGGTCACTCCTCCAAGGTCATGCCACCCAAATCCTCAGAGTAACTCCAACCCAGGGCCACTTCCATTCATTCCTCCCTCATTCTCTAGATCTCTCAAACCTTCGTAACCGTCCTACTGAAAATCTTTGCCTAGTGAAGACCTGCTGAGGGGATGTCTATGATACTTCCCTCTATCTCTTTCCCCCCAAGGATGGACTAGAAGCTAATTCCTAGGGAGGGCCCCAGACCCCAGAAACTTACGTCCAGTGAGTTCAAAAAGCACCCTGTCATTGAGACCTAATCTCAGCTCCGGCATGCCAGACAAGAACACCTTCAGTTTAATGGTGCCCACAATCTCACTCAGCAGCACACTCCCATTGGCATTGACCTGAACCAATGGGGAGTAGGTATCAGCAGGGGTGGTGGAGGGTGGGAGTGAGCGAGAACAGACCCCAATTCTCCCATCTCCCTTCCCTAACAGCAGTTGCCACAGGCAGTGAGCACCACCTTGCCCCCCATTCCACCCACTGATAATTCCTGACCCCCCAGACAGACAGCCTCTTGGGTTCTGACTGGTGATAATTCTAATCCCCATTGCACCTACCCTCAACCTTAGCTTCCCAGGGGCTTACCAGTAGGTTGACAGACTCAATCACATCAATGAAAACCTCATTCTTCTTATATTTGATACCCTCTGAGCGCCAGGACACTGCATTGGTGACTGTAGGAGGCACCCGGGATTTGCCTGTCTCTAATTTGTTGCCCTGCTGGGTGATATACCTGGAGGAAGAAAGGGGAAGGAATTAGGTCTATGTTCTTACGTCCCCTCTCTACCTCCCACCTGGAAAGGCCTCCAGCATGTTACCAATATTATCTCATTTGATCCTCACAACAACCCTGGGTGGTAGGTACTATTAATACCCCCATTTTACAGATGGGGAAACTGAAGTAGACAAGGTGACACAGCTAAGAATCTGGGGTTAGATTTGAACTCATCTTCCTGACTCTAGAACCAGCACTCTATCCGCTGTGCTGCCTTATTGTAGGCACTTAATATGTATTTAGTGACTGCTTATCCACAGTCAAAGATGTAGTGACTAGTAGAGCTGGTATTTGAACAAGGCCCTCTTACTACAAATCCCATGTCTTTTGTTTGTGTACTATGCTTTCCCCCCACTAATGCTATAGGGGGTGGGTAGTAAAATAATTATTATCCCGTTTTAAAGATGAATCAATAATCTCAGAGAAGGGAAGTGATTCATGCAAGGTCAAATGGCTGACAAAGGACAAAGGACAAAGTGAGAACTCTAGGGCAGGCCCCCAATTCCAAATTCAGGGTGTTCTACCACGTCTGGTGGCCTCTCTGTTCCCCAGGAGATAGAATCATAGAATCATGGACTGAGAATTGGGAGGGATCTTAGAGATCATCCCATTTTACAGATGAGGAAACTAAGGCTCAGGGAGGTCAAACCACTTGCCAAGTTCACCTAAATAGAAAGTGGCAAAGAAATGAGGTTGGAAAAGATGAATGCTAAGGGCCCTTGCAGGGCAGCTAGGTGGCGCAATGGATACAGCACCAGCCCTGGAGTCAGAAGAATCTGAGTTCAAATACCAGCCTCAGACACTTACTAGCTGTGTGACCCTGGGCAAGTCACTTCACCCTGCTTGCCTCAGTTTCCTCATCTGTAAAATGAGCTGGAGAAGGAAATGGCAAACCATTCCAATATCTCTGCCAAGAAAACCCCAAATGGGGTCATGGAGGGTTGGACATGACTGAAATGACCAAATAACAAAGGGCCCTTCCAGTTCTGGCACGGCTTGCCTCTAGAATCAGCCTTCCTTATGCTGGTGGAAAGAGCAAAAGGAGAGATGAAGCATGTTAGGGACTGGGGAGTAGAGGTGGCCCTGTGATCTTTCATTAGAGTCCTGGGGAAATAACAATTGTATCTGAAGCTCCTAGGACCTGGTGGGCCCTGGGGAGGCTGCCCCCATCCCAGTTCCACTTACTCCTGGAGGATTTTGCTGTCCGTGGTCTGGGGAAAGCCAAAATCCATGAGCTCATCCAACAGCTCATAGACGATGACAAAATTGTCCCGGATGCTTTCCTCCTCTAGCTCCTTGAAGTACTCAGAGAATACCTGTTGGGGAGGAGAAGCAGATGGGTGGAGGGAGAATAGAATGATCAGTACCCTTCCTATCAAAAAGTCAGGAGCTAGAAAATGGGGCTAGGGTTCTCACCTCCACAACTTTGTAGAGGAAGGAGTACACCAGGGAAGCGTTGGCATTCTTGAGTGTGGTGGCCACCACTATTACCAATCTGGGGTCAAGGAAAAGGCATCAACATGGTGGGGTGGGGGAGTGAAACAGGAAAGCGGTCTTTCCCCCACCCCTATTCTCTGCAGCCTTCCCACCCCCAGCACACAGCCAGCTCTGCCGCCCAACTCTGGGGTCCCTACCACACATCCCAGCCACTGTTGGCTCTGACTGGCCTTGGGACACGGGGCACCATCAATCACTACCCTCTTTGGATCCTTGTTCCCCTCACAGTTCTGGGTCACTAGCTACAGGTAAAGAAGAGCTTGTTCAGACTCATGGGTGCTGGAACCAATCAGAAGGCTTGGATCTGATTACCTAATCTGCAGCTGTCTACTGGGTAACACTCTCCAAGCCTCAGTAACCCTTCTCTGTAAGACTGAAAGGTGACTAGATGACATCAAATTACTCTGAATCCTATGAACAAAGACTGAGGGCCAGTGTGAAGGTAGGAGAGGAAAGGAGGTTTGGTGCAATGAAAAGAGTACTAGATTTGGAGTCTTGTCCTCTTCTGACGCTAAAACTTTAGTGTGGTCCTGGCTAGGTAATTTCATGTCTAGGAGCCTTAGTTTCTTTATCTGTAAAATAGGGGTGATCTTCCCTCCCCTGCCCTCTTCGCAGGGCTGTTGTTATAAGAATCCTATGAGAAAATGTCTGAAGACCCCAGATCAGTGGTCCTAGGTTCGGGGTTAGAGGGTCTGGGAGATTGGATAGACAAGGACGCAATCCGCCTTTCCAAAGCCAGGGAACAAGGAACCAGGCAGATGTGACCATGGGCAAAGCTTTAGAACCCAGAGGCAGCTCTAGCATGATGCCCTCCTTCCCACTTCACTCTCCCCAAGGTCCTGGCAGGAAGAAGGATGCAATAAAGGTTGCTATGTTTGATCCACAGGAAATGCACCCTGCCGTGGGTCAGCAGTGGAGTCAGGGCTCCCTCTTCTTCCTTCTGCATCAGCAGGGGCATGAAGTGGTCAATCTCTGCCATGTTCACATCCCCCTTATAGTTCCGGCAGATCAAGGGCTGGTCAGTGGGAGAGAAGGAAGGGGGTGAAATTCCTCCCCAATCTTAGCTCCACCCCCTTTTCCTTTGCAGGCTCAGCACTTTCATCCCAACCCATGTGACAGCCTGACTACCTGGTCACCTGGGGTGGGGGGGGGAGGAAGGAGGGGCCCCCACAAGGGAAAGGGTCTGGAGTGAGGAAGGGCTGTCTTCACAGGGAACTTCTCTTTCCCTCAGGTAAGCCTGACCAACTGGTTGACATCTGGGATAGTGATGGGCTCAGAAGGCTGGTCACCCAAGACATCTAGATTCTTTCCTCCAGCCAGAGAAGGGGGCCTCTGGGAGGGAGGGGAGTCCTAGCTCCTAGGATTGGACCTAAGGCCCAGCAGAAGTGAACTTGTCTGAGGGTTGTCTGCACCCCTACCCCCACCCCCCCAAGTCTTACCTGTTCGGGACTCTTTCACACCCCAACACCTAGGAAAGCAGCCCTTTCTCACCTTCCCCTTCATGTCCAGAATGAAAACAGCAGAGGCAGACATGGCGGTAGCAGGGCCCGGTCAGAGCAGAGGCCTTGCTAGGGGCAGCAGGGAGGAGATGTTCGACGCTTCCTCCTTCCTGCAAAGGCAGCGTCACCTCACTCAGGTAGGAGCCCAGGTCCAGGTGAGCAGCTCTTAAAGGGGAGGTGACCCAGGTGAGCAACTTCCTCTGCCGACAGAAATTCTCCTCCTGCCTGGGGCGGGGTTGGGGAGGGATCCTAGGGTCGGAGGATTTTGAGCAGGAAGGGACTTAGTTTTTTTTTTTAGTCCAACTTCCTCCTTTTATAGATGGGGAAACTGAAGCTTTAAGAATGGGAAGTGACCTTCCCAAGGTCACAAAGTAGCAGAGCTGGTACAATACATTCCCAAGAAGGAGTTATGCAGACAAAGAGAGGTAAAGGATATCAGAGAAACATTTCTCTGGAAAAGAGGGCTAGGCAGACAGCTAGAACCAGAATCAGCTGATGTCCTAGGGATGTCAGAAGAAAAAGAGAAGGAAGCCGTGTTTGGTGGACCCCCTTGGGTAAGCTTAGGGGGAACCAGTGAATGAGAATGCCCAGAATGGGCATGTAGGATGGACTATGATGGCCTCATGGGAGGGAATCTTCACATGGATCCATTAGCGTTTGACATTATGTCTCTAGCCTGTGCCTCGGTTTTCACTTCTGGAAAACTAAAAATCTCTCTCCTCTTTTCTCCACTCCTTCCCCTCTCCCCTTCCCCCTCCCCCATCCCTTTTACTGTCTTCCACTTCTTTGACCCAGGATTCACAGCCCAGCTCATTGCAAGGAAGGAAAGAATGAGTCCCATGTTAGTGGTAAGCCCTTTGAAAAAAACTATATCCTAGACTTTTCCATTCTTGGGTGACCCGGATCCAAAGTGATGGAGTAAATTGTCCAACCTAAGCTAAGATTGTAGTTTCCTCCAGGAGTGTGTTGGACAGCCCATACAAAGGAAGGGGCCAGGGACCTCAGTCCAACAACCCCTATCCCTCCTCAGCAGCTAGTTCTCTACTGGACCCTTGGGGGTTAATTAATCATCCACCCAAATCTCCCCTTTGTCTGTGTGTGTGTGTGTGTGTGTTTATTTTCAATTTTTATAGCTATCTAACAATTTCCCACCACCTTTATTTTCCCTTTTTTCACATTTTAAATGATTTATTATAAACATTACACATCAATGTAACTAAACGTGCTTTGCAATTATTCAGAGTTAAAGTAGTTCTGTAGCAGGGGAGGACATCTGTTATATTCATATTAAACAAAAATGTCTACTTTCCTGAAACATTCTTCTGCTGGTATAGAGATCAGCAAATAGTAGGAATATAGACATTTTTCAAAAGTTTTAGGTCAACAATTTTTTTGTTTTGTTTTAAAATGCTTCATTGATGCTTTCCCCCCACCTAAATCTGTCACTGCTTACCAATTGCCCTCCCTCAAGTAGAAACCTTACCTCATAACAAATATATAGTTGAACAAGAAGCAAAACACATCAAGATACTGGCCATGCCTGAGGATGCACATTTGGTTCTGTATTTCAAGTTGAGTGGTTCCCAACTTTTTTTGTTCTTTGAACCCCTTTCAACAAGAACAACAACAAAATGTGTTGTGAACCCCCAGGGTAATTTAATATACTACTCATAATATTCTGTAATTAATTGCTAGCGGCAGCTAGGTGGCGCAGTGGATAGAGCACCGGCCCTGAAGTCAGGAGGACCTGAGTTCAAATTCAGCCTCAGACTAAGCACTTGACACTTACTAGCTGTTGTGACCCTGGGTAAGTCACTTAACCCCAACTGCATAAAAAATAAATAAATAAATGAATAAAATTATTTACTGATTAAGGCACCATTAAAGAATTTTTAGAGTGAACTCCCTTGGAGGAGTAGCAGAAGGAAACAAGTATTCATTCAGTGCCTACTATGTGCCAGCTAGGATAGCCCCTTGAGGCAGCTGGGTGGCACAGCAGAGTAACAGACCTGGAGTCAGGAAGATCTGAGTTCAAATCCAGCCTCAGACACTTACTAGCTATGTGACCCTGAGCGAGTCACTTAACCCTGTTTGCCTCAGTTTCCTCATCTGTAAAATGAGCTGGAGAAGGAAATGGCAAACCACTCTAGTACCTTTGCCAAGAAAACCCCAGATGGGGTCATGAAGTGTTGAACGAGACTAAAAATGACTGACCAACAACAACAGCTATGTGTCAGGCACTGTGCTAAGTGTTTTTACAAATATTATCTCATTTGATCCTCATAACAACCCCTGGAAGGTAGGTGCTATTATAATCCCCATTTTGCAGTTGAGGAAACTGAGGCAGACAGAAATTAAGTGACTTGCCCAGAGTCACACAACTCGTAAGCATCTGAGGTCAGATTTGAGCTCGGGTCTTTGGGCCCAGGGCTCTACCCATTTCGACAGCTGGCTTCCCTTGAACCGTTCTTTCAAACCCTCAAGGGAGTTCCAAGCCGCGGCACAGAAGCCACAGCTCTTTCCATCAACTCTCTGCCAAAAGGTGAAGGATATGCTTCATGATTAGTCAATGCTTCAGCCTGGGTTCTTTCAGGGTTCCTTGCCCCCTGTTGTTGTTGTTGGTGGTGGTGGTGGCGGTGTTCTTGATCCTTCATTTTTTTTGAAGGGGACCAATCAACCCCTTCCTGTTATTATGGTGATGGAGTAAATTGTTCCCCTGATTCTATTCACTTCACTCTGCACCAGTTCATACAATTCTCCAGATTTCTCGTAATTTATCCATTCCTTCTTTCTCATGGTGCAAACTCTATTGCATTCATATACCCAATCACCTTCACTTCCCCTCATACATCTCTCCTGCCTGAGAGCCAGCCTCCAAATGCCATTTTACAGTATATATTGCTGTGCAGTCTCCACCCCCAATTTTGGGGCGGAAGTTTGAGGTTATTGCATTCCCCACCCCCAAACACCCAGTTCGATGAAAGAACGGGGAAGAGAGATTGATGAGGTGTTGACAGTGGATAGCTGCTCTGCTGGAGGTGGGGTGAGGAAATTCTGTGTAAGGCCACCCAGAGCCAGAGTCCCTGGAGCTCCCCCAACAGCAACCAGCAAGGCAGGATTAAGAGAAAGCCTCTAGTGTGCAGGCAGGAGCCCCACTTACAGGCCCCGAGGACTCCGGCAAGTCATTTCCCCTCTCTTACCCCCGATGTCATTGTGTAAAATGGGGATAATAATCCTTGTGCTAGCAGCCTCACAGGGCCACGGTGAGAAAAGCATTTTGTAAATCTTCATGTGTCCCGGATGAATATCTTGATGAATTTTGACCCCCTGGAAGTTGCTGCTTCCTTCTCCTGTGTAATTCTGTTACATCTTTTCATAAATCCTTCATCGAGGACCTACCCAATGCATTAGAGGCCTTCCTCTGGGACTGTTAATAACATTTGAGTTACATAGACTTCAGGTTTTAGAAAGGATTTCACATACATTATTGCACTGGGTCTTTATAATAATTCTGAGAATATAAGCATTACTTCCACCTGGAAGAATCAGAGGCTGTGGCATCTGGATAGAATCTCAGACTAGGAGGGTAGAAGACTGGAGTTCAGATCCCCAATCAGACACTTCCTCATTGTGTGACCCTAGGCAAGCCACTGAACTTCTATGATCCTGAAGGCAACTCTCTAGGATTTACCTCCAAATCTATAGATTAGTCAATAGTCAATAAATAATCATTAAGTGCTTATTATATGCCCAGTTGTTGTTGTTCAGTCACTTTCTTGTGATACCATTTGGGGTTTTCTTGGCAAAGATAGTGGAGTGGTTTGCTATTTCCTTCTCATTTTACAGATAAGGAAACTGAGGCAAACAGGATTAATTGATTTGCCCAGGGTTACACAGCTAGTAAGTGTCTGAGGACATATTTAAACTCAGGAAGATGAGGCACTCTATCCACTTCACCACCTAGCTGCCCATTATATGCCCAGACACTGTGCTAATTGTTGCAGATACAAAGAAAGCCAAAAAACTGTCCTTGTTCTTCAGGAGCTCACAGTCTAACGGGAAAGACAACATGCAGACAACTAAGTACAAACATGATAAATACAGGATAGATTGGAAATAATCAGCAGAGGGAAGGCATTAGAATCAAAGGGACTAAAGTGTCCATAGCCTTTGAACCAGACTCCATTACTTGTATTTGGGGCTTATGCCCCAAGGAAGTCAGGGACAAGAAAAGAAGTTTCCATATACTCCAAAATATTTATAGCTGCACTTTTTGTGAGAGCTAAGAGTTGGAAACGAAGTAGTTCCCATCAATTGGGATGGCCAAAAAAATTGTGGTGCATGAATGTAAGGGAATACTATGATACTGTAAGAAATGATGTATGTGATGAATACAGAGAAGCATGGAAAGATCTATATGAACCGATGCAGAGCGAAGCAAGCAGAGCCAAGAAAACAACATCCGCGTGACTAAAATAATGTGAGTGGAAAGAACAACACACCAAAAAAATCAAAAGTAAATGTAACAAAATTATAAAGATTTGGGGCAGGGCAGCTAGGTGGTGCAGTGGATGGAGCACCAGCCCTGGAGTTAGTAGGACCTAAGTTTAAATATCCAGCCTCAGACACTTACTGTGTGACCCTAGGCAAATCACTTAACCCTGATTGCCCCCTCCCCCCCCAAAAAAAAGATCAAGGAGGACTGCAGTGAAGAAATATGAAAAGAAACCCCCCAACCTATCCCTTTGTAGAGGTGGAAGATCCACAGGTGCTACACATTGCAAATGTTTTTGGACTTTCTCAATATCAATGAGTTGTGCTGACTTTTTTTTCTCTTAAAAAATACTGTTTGTCATATGGCATAGCTCTGGGAAAGGGGATGCATGGTGTTGGAAGAAACAGAAATGATAAACTAAAACTTATTTTTTATGAAAGATTTTTAAAAAGAAATAAAGAAGATTGGGAAAGGCTTCTTGCAAGAGATAGGATTTTAACTGTGACTTGAAGAAAATCCAGGGAAACCAGTAGGGAAAGATGAAGAGGAAAAGAGTTGCAGTCATGGTGCCAGCCGGTGAAAATGCCCAGAGCTGAAATGGACTGTCTTATGGGAGGAGCAGCTGGG